GCAGAGTTTAGTGACATCCAGAGCATCAGTCATGTTTCTAAGGCTACAGCTAGCATGCCTAACTTGAACTACCTTTCTGTTCACTTTTGTATACTGAGCAGTTTTCCTGTCTAAACTTAACCAAACTGTATTGACTTCTCAATCTGTAGTCCCAGTATCCACAGGTGTAATAATATAAACCGGTAAAAATCTATTATGCATGACCACTTCAATGATCGACACAAGCTCCTGTTTTTACAGGATTTTCCCCCCCGAGAGAGACGCAAAATCTTCCAGCCAGCCATCTGTTTGTCTCCATGTCTGCCGTTCATGTCCACAGAGTCACTTTATAAAAATCCAATAATTGTTCCCAAAAAGTTTGGAGACTGTGGCTTCCTCCAGGGCCCTGCATCAGCTCCCCCTTCCCGCCTCTGTGACTGCTGAACCACTGATGCAACAAATAGGCAATCCACTCCCTGTGGCCCCGGACAGCACTTAGTCTGTAGCCACTGCAGTGACGGCCCTTTGTATTGCTCACAGACGCTTCCTCTGTCACCACAAAAAAGTCAGGAGTCTAGCATTCAACGGCATGCTTTTCTTTTCTGCTGATAGTTTCTTTTTTGAATGATGCAAACAGAAATGCCTGAAAACTTAATCACAGTTTCCCTGAAGGGCATCGACAGAACAAAGCTCTTTTCTGTCAACATATCCATCACTCATTTTATAAAAACTGTATGTATTTATAGATAAACAGGATTGTATACATCCACATATCTATATATTTATTCCGTGCAACTGTTTTGTACATATACACTCACCGGCCACTTTATTAGGTACACCTGTCCAACTGCTCGTTAACACTTAATTTCTAATCAGCCAATCACATGGCGGCAACTTAGTGCATTTAGGCATGTAGACATGGTCAAGACAATCTCCTGCAGTTCAAACCGAGCATCAGTATGGGGAGGAAAGGTGATTTGAGTGACTTTGAACGTGGCATGGTTGTTGGTGCCAGAAGGGCTGGTCTGAGTATTTCAGAAACTGCTGATCTACTGGGATTTTCACGCACAACCATCTCTAGGGTTTACAGAGAATAATCCGAAAAAGAAAAAATATCCAGTGAGCGGCAGTTCTGTGGGCGGAAATGCCTTGTTGATGCCAGAGGTCAGAGGAGAATGGCCAGACTGGTTCGAGCTGATAGAAAGGCAACAGTGACTCAAATAACCACCCGTTACAACCAAGGTAGGCAGAAGAGCATCTCTGAACGTACAGTACGTCGAACTTTGAGGCAGATGGGCTACAGCAGCAGAAGACCACACCGGGTGCCACTCCTTTCAGCTAAGAACAGGAAACTGAGGCTACAATTTGCACAAGCTCATCGAAATTGGACAATAGAAGATTGGAAAAACGTTGCCTGGTCTGATGAGTCTCGATTTCTGCTGCGACATTCGGATGGTAGGGTCAGAATTTGGCGTCAACAACATGAAAGCATGGATCCATCCTGCCTTGTATCAACGGTTCAGGCTGGTGGTGGTGGTGTCATGGTGTGGGGAATATTTTCTTGGCACTCTTTGGGCCCCTTGGTACCAATTGAGCATCGTTGCAACGCCACAGCCTACCTGAGTATTGTTGCTGACCATGTCCATCCCTTTATGACCACAATGTACCCAACTTCTGATGGCTACTTTCAGCAGGATAATGCGCCATGTCATAAAGCTGGAATCATCTCAGACTGGTTTCTTGAACATGACAATGAGTTCACTGTACTCAAATGGCCTCCACAGTCACCAGATCTCAATCCAATAGAGCATCTTTGGGATGTGGTGGAACGGGAGATTCGCATCATGGATGTGCAGCCGACAAATCTGCGGCAACTGTGTGATGCCATCATGTCAATATGGAACAAGCTCTCTGAGGAATGCTTCCAGCACCTTGTTGAATCTATGCCACGAAGAATTGAGGCAGTTCTGAAGGCAAAAGGGGGTCCAACCCGTTACTAGCATGGTGTACCTAATAAAGTGGCCGGTGAGTGTATATTAGTGGTGCAACGGATCATCATTGATCCGTGATCCGTTCGGATCGACGTCATTGGTTCGGCACACACGTTACCCGCGGTTCGATTTCTGAAAAAAAAAATTTGGCTTCCCTGTCAACTATGATGAGGAAGGAAAGAGGTCAGTGGACAAAACTGCGAAGGTGTGTAGGCACTGTGGCATAAGAAAGCCATATGACAGTGGAAACACATCGAGCATGTTCACGCATTTGAAAGCGACATCACCCGGGTGTTTTAATGACAGGTGTTGTGCCGTAGACTGCACCCCTGCCGTAGAACGCACCCCTGCATCCCCTCCACTCGTTAGCTTCTTAAAGTGGAGATAATGATCTCATATTTAAAGAAACACGAGTATTAGATCATGACATGTCAAATGGAGCAGCAAACTTTCATTTTCTTTTTATGTGTCTCAAAAATGCAAATATAGAGGTGTACTTGGGTATAAACTGTACAGAAAGCTGTCCAGGTAGAGAGCATTATATTTTCGGGACAGCAATATTCCAAGGGCTGTTGTTTTTGGCTTCTTTGAATAGCCTGAATGAAATTATTACAGGCAAACGCTTTTGAATCCATCCAATGTAAGAAAAACTTGGATTATTTCACCTCGTTATGTACTTTAAACCGCGCTCCCGTCAGGGGGTGCATTCTACAGCAGGGGTGCATTCTATATCACAACACCTGAGATAAAACGAAAGCTGGCCAGCAACCGCTCATCACCGCAGCATTTAAGCAGCCTCTTCCTGTGCAATCCGACCGGGTTAAAGCTATCACAAACGCTATCGGTGTGTTTATAGCTACAGACATGAGGCCATATTCAGTTGTGCAAACGAGGGCTTTAAAAACATGCTGAAAGTGCTTGAGCCACGTTACAATATCCCACCGCGCACATACTTCATTTTTGGTTCATTGTTACATTTTAAAGGAAGGAGATATGCCTATATATTGCACTTCAAGTTGTTTTTCATTAATAATTATGTTGAAAAGAAGATATTATGCCGTATGCACTACTTTTATATATTTTAATTCAACCATTTAAGTGTTTAATATACAGACAAAACTGCTTTTTGCTGATCCGAAAAATGATCCGATCCGTGACTCTTGATCCGAGGAACGATCCGATCCGTTAGTGTTGTGATCCGTTGCACCACTAGTGTATATATATATACATACATATACAGTAAAATACTTTAATAGTAGAATAACACAGTGCAACATGGATTTACTTAAACTATTCCATTCTCTGTGTGTTTACCAGGCTCTAGGTATACAGTACATAAAAAAGAGAATTATATACATAAAGTTACTGTTGTCATTATTACTATGATGACTATATTTGTTTTATCCTTTGGTCAATCAATATAAACTTCACCAGGCAAGAGTTTACAGGATATTCTGCCGTAAATTTAGTAAGGGTCAAACACACCATAACACCAACTTGAGAGTTGAATGTTGCTGACCGCTTGCTTCTCTAGTTATACCAACTTCTGTAACGACTGCACCATAGCAATACACAGCGGTCTTTGGATCCACACACACACCTCAACCAAAACACCACTCAATAGCCACAAATAATGCTCAGAACAGCACCTAAATTCATCAACAGTACATATAGGGTCACAGCCACTGCACTAGCCAACGTCTTTTTTTAGCTTTGCCTGATTTCTTTAGCAGAGAGACTAAACCCAACTCACCCACTCTCCTCCAGCAGCTGCTTGTTTATAGGGAGACCTCGAGCCAGTCCATTACAGACTACAGCGGGGTGACGCAGCTCAAGGAAGAACATTTATGATCATTTCTTTATCATTTCCTTGAAGTAATAATCACCATATTAATCATTTTGCACTGCAGACGTGGTAGTTCTTCTGCCTTAGCTTCTTAGTCTGATTGCATTTCCATGAAGAAATGATCATTAATGTTCTTCCTTGAGCTGCGTCACCCCGCTGCAGTAGGCGATGGACTCGTCTGAGCAAATTTTATGCCAGAATATCTCTTTGACAATATATGTCTGTTTGTCTCATATTATGTTTTCACACAACTGTTGATTATAAAAAGAAGAAGAATCAATGCCAGAGTGTCATTGTGCCGTACTATAGAGAAAGACCACTTGGGTCCAAAAACTTTCCCAATTTGGGGATTAAAAGTCCGGAGGCTGATCAGTCATGAGGAACAGGTGTGCAGGCAGGAGACAGATCAGGATATGAGTCGTAGCCAGAATCACACTGAGAACACTCGGTGGGCAGGTGGCAAATGAAGAGGTCTGGACCCACAGGAAATTTTATAAATTCACAGGAGAAAGAAGCATTGAAAGAGCATGAATCACCTTATAAGTGGCCGAGCTTTTTGGTGTTTTTTTTTCCCTTTCACAGTCAGGATTAACCCACACAGGTGCTTTCATGAATTTTGTCTGATTTGACCTTAGGGCTGCGTGGGCTGTGATTGGCACCTACACCAATCTAATTTTGTTGCACTCTGTGAAAGGGTACTCTGTCTTTCCTTTATTTTAATGTTAGCCTGTGTGACCATCAAGTTTAACAAGTTTTCTGTGTGAATGTGAGCAAAGCATGCTAGGAAGACCACATTTAACATGCAAATTCACAGTTTTCTCTTAAAAAAAAAACAGCTGCTTCACATGCATCGTTTTCTGTTTTTGAGATTAAACAGTGATTTTACTACTCTGTGTGTTTTCATGACTCACGTCAGACCCATGATACTATGAGTAATGCAGACCATGTTGTTCAGTGACTAATATGGCTGGTGGGGTTGATCAAACTTTCTAGTTCTCTTTTTTCACTGTTTATGGCAGCAAGCTTACCTTGGAGGGGTCTGATCAACCAACACGATCACCCGTGAAGGTGTTATGATGAGTTGTGTCCAAGGCAGCACAATATTGGAAGAAAACTAAATGAAAAGCTTTCTTGTATTTGTATTGTGAAAAAAAAAATAGTAATCAAAATCAAAAACAGATTTTAAACACTTCTTTCTCTGACATTGAAGTGACATGTTAAAAGTGGGAAAGAAGAGTCTTGTCGGTGTTTACTGTGTTTTAAGAGTCTACAAAAAATAAAAGCGAGGGTGCTGGCTTCACCCTTTACTGAGAATTAATCTTAAATCGCCCTTTTCAGAAGAACTTTGTAACCCTTAAGTGAATCGTAAGCACTGTTATACTCATTTTCTCTGGTTCAAGCAACATTTGTTGACTGCCAACAGATCTTGACACCGCTGTTCTGCTGCTGTAAGATATTGGGTATTAAATTAAAATCAAAATTCAGTCATTCTGTTCTTATGTTCTGGGTCTTGGCTTAAAAAAATTGTTATATTGGACTGCTTGTTAAAAGCTAACAAAAAATAGGTCACCAAATGAATCAGAATCAGAATTGATTACTACGATTCCCCCTGCTTTCACTCATGAGCTGGTGAATGATCTCTGTTGGTGTGTGATGCGATATTAGAAGAAAGCTATCAAATCTGAAATTATGTGTCATCATTTTTGATAATTTTGACATTTCTGGCATCCATTTGTAAAAGAAAAATTGATTTCAAAATTCTTTTGGTGTGGGCCGGGCTGTAACTTCATCTGACAGCATCAAAACTCTAGCTGAGTCCCAATTTAGGAGCGGCATCTTTCTAAAGATGCATTTGAAGATCGACTGCGTGACAGCAGCGTGTTGAAGACCTCTTTAGATGTGGGCGACAAACGTGTCCCACTTTTCTTGGCCCATAAAGGACCCCCGGAGAGCATCCTTCGTGGCCTATCCCAGTATTCATTGTGCGCTAATTCAAACAATATAGTGAATTCTCCAGTGGCTAAGAAATACATTTCTAAATGTGTTGAGTTGGTTAAGTTTCCTTTATATTTTGCACATTAAGGTTTTCACGTTTCATGTCTTTCCTGTCTTTTTTCGAAGTGACTGTTTCTTTTTTCTAGATTTGTTCCTGTCTGATCTGCTCTGCCCCATCTTTTCACACTTGCATCCTGATACTGTCTCCCCACCTGTTTCTCATCACCCTCATTACCTCTTGTATTTAACCTAATTTCTCTCACTGTTTCTCTCAAAGTTTTTAAAAAGCATCCTTTTCAGGAGCCAATTCTCCCTTTGTGTCTAAACAAAGGGTGCAAACAATGCTTGATGTCTTTATTTTTTAAAATAACTGGGTACATATAAACGGGGCCTTAGCCACACCGTGTTTATTCTTGCCTCCTTTTTTGACCTTGATTTTTGCCCCACATCTCTGGATACCTCTGCCTGTACTGAATGATTTCCTGTGTACCAAAGTCTGCTTGTTTGGTAAACCCTAAGACCTACAGCTTTTTGTCCTGCAATTGTGTTCATCCATTCTGTTGCCATGTTCATGAAAAAATTCTTGTGATACAAAAGATAAAAACACAAAGGGGTCTTCAAACTTTAAATTACCTTTGAGATTTATTAAAAGGTCAAGTTAAGAAGGCTGGGTCCCTTCTGGGATAAAGCCTCTGAAATGGAACACAGATAAAGTAAAAATAGGACTACGTTTACACATGACCGACTATTTTCATAAATGGACATCTGACCCTCTCCATTTACAAAAAAAATAAATAAACTGCATGCACACAACTACAGTTCCAAAATTTTTAATTTACACTAACCCATGTATATATGCCTTCAAGAACATATCAAACATGTAGGTGGCAGTGTAGCGAGAAGCTCAAACCCTCGTTAGCCAGTCAGAATCCTGTATCACAAAGAAAACAAAGATTTTGGTTCAACAGATATACTTAAATGAAAACCATACAAAATCTAGCAATACTCTTGTTAGTAAATGTGGTGATGGGTATTTTTATTGAAATCTAGTTTCCACTCTGTACAGTATACTTCGCTCTTGAATTAACTGCTGATATTTAAAAAAATGATGATCAGTAGTTCTTGCTGCTAGGGTTTTATCCAAAAAGTTAAACTATTCCTTTTCAAACTGCGTTTTTGCTTCCTGGCTTTTGGCCCAAGTTCATATGTGCCCACTTCAGTGTGAAGAAGACGAGTAAAGTGCAGAGTAAGGGGCAGTCTTGATCTAATGATAAAAAAGATGTTGATGACAGTGCTCTTATAGAAGCTGATACAGCATATAGCTTCTTCATACTTATTTCAAAAGACAGAGGACAATCAGCCTCTGCCTAATCACCCGTTTAAATACTTACCCTTAGCTGTGATCAAAAAGCAAAGTAAAGCACGCACTGTGAGTGCAACTTCTACCAGTGAGCTCTTTTGGAAAATCAACGCAGTCACGCCTCAAGTGTGGACTCAGAGGAAGAATATTTCACAGTTTTAATAATTAGGATTGGACTGATCCCGAGCTGCCACCCCAGCAGTTCCAGCTCTTCACCATTTTAAGAGCTCTCTGCATAACTCAGCATGATTGGCTGTGATTTTTCAAGCAGACCCGTGAGCGTTTGACAAGCCAGTGTGACAATGTTGAGAAATGCCAAGGCAGGTCAATCAGCACGCCGTCAAATAAAAGCTACCAATTACCTCTTCACCAATCCCACGTCTTGAAGGTTTGCATTCAGATTAGCCACAGAGGATTTCTCGTATTGTTTTGATCCCACATAATCTGCATTTCGAATTTCCATAGCTGTTTCAGAAGTATACGACTTTTACGTTAAACCGTATATATACATTTTAAGGGAGTAAAGGATTCATTTGTCTCTCTCCCTTATCCCAACACAACTGTTCGGCCACTGACATAGAAAGAGAAAGAGGGAGATAAATATTTAGTTATGCCAGGCTGTTGCTCTGAGTGAAAAGCACCCTGTAAGAAATATGACAGAGTGCATTATTCATCACATCACAGCACTAATAAATTCAACGCTTTGTGCGTGGCGAGAGCAGAGCATCAGAGAGAAAGAGAAAGAAAAGTGAAAGCAGCGAAATGTGGTACACCAGGAGGCCACTCTATCATGCTGTCGTAAACCTCTATCATGAAAACTGCCTCGGATTTCTGCACATATAAATCACTGTGCTAATATGATTGTAGCATGGTGGCTGAACACAGGTCATGGCTTCTAACTACCCAAAGAGAAAAAGCAGCAAACACTTACTCTGGAATAACACCCCTCCCCCCTTTCCCATCGCTCAGTCCAGTTGTACTGACCCGAAAGGCAGAAAGCAATTTCAGCCAAGAGTACAAGCATTATTACAGGTCTTGATGGAAATGAATGTTGGGGCGGGGAGCTCGACAGGGTAATGCCTCACGTCCCTTGTACTGCTTTCTGGGTCAGGTGTTTCCGAACATTGCCAGGCTCAGGCATGTATGGACATGAAAAGCTCAGAAATTCACCAAAACATGCACACACGGACACATAACAGCAATGGCTTAGTTCAGACTCTTGAGTTTGTGTCATTGGTTGAATACAAAACAGTTACGCTGTGGTAAGCCATAAGCTTCAAAGTAGTATGGGTCTTGAACCCTGCCTGTTTGATTGTAACAGATAGAACGTGGGTCAAGCTAGATAAGCAACATCAAAATGAATTTCCAAGTGGAGAAGGCAGAGTCTGAAGACCTAGGGACAGTGCATGTGGAGTGGCACACCCAGGTAGTGATTGTCAAAACGGGGGACTAAAGAGTGTGCGCCAATGATCTAGGTATTACTTGGCCTATCGGGAAAAGCTTACTCTGTCATGTCAGAGAGGATAAAGCCATATACGGGATACTGTGGACCAAGTCCTTACCTTTGCAGCACTGTTAGAGGAGGATAGGAGTTTGCCTATCCAGTCTACAAGGGTTTTGTGAACTTGGAGAAGGTCTACGATCATGTACCTTTGGCAGTTTTGTGGGGGAAGATGGTTTTGGACACTGCAAGGACTTTAAAGGGATATTCCGGCGTAAAATTAATCTAGGGTCAAACACACCATATCACTGAGTTAGACAACCCCTCGAGGGATGAATGTTGCCGACCGCTTGCTTCTCAAGTTATACCAACTTCAGTAACGACCACACAATAGCAATACACAGCGGTCTATGGATCCACACGCACACCTCAACCAAAACGCCACTCTATAGCCACAAATAATGCTCAGAACAGCACCTAACTTCATCAACAGTGTATATAAGGTCCCAGCCATAGCACTAGCCACCGGGGTGACGCAGCTCGAGGAAGAACATTTATGATCATTTCTTCATGGGAATGCAATCAGACCAAGACGCTAAGGCAGAGGAACTACCGTGTCTGCAGTGCAAAATAAATATGGTGACTATTACTTCAAGGAAATGATAAAGAAATGATGGGGAGCTTCAGTATATCATCTCTGCTCTTTGCAGGTGATGTGGCTCTGCTAGCCTCTAAGTCTGGGACCCCCAGCAGGCATCTGGATAGTTAAGAGCCAGGTGCAGAATGACTTATGGTCATGAGCTGACTGAAAGACTGAGATTGTGGATACAATGGGCTTCCTCTAAAGGGCTGCTGGGCTTTGCCTTAGAGAGAGGGTCAGGCATGTGGAGGGAGCTCTGAGTAGAGCTGTTGTCCCTTTTCATCAAAAGGAGTCACACTGGTGGTTTAGATCTGGATACCACCTGAATTCCTTCCTTGAGAGCTTTCCTGAGTACCTCTAACTAGGAGGATGCCCAAAGGTATACCCACATTTTAATTCCATTAGATTTCTGCTGAGTCTTTCTCCGCTCTGCCACAGCACCAGTACAGATATGATTTCACTTTGGTCAATGTGTTTGCTTCCACTGGCTCCACTCTATTGTGTTTGAAATGGCCATAGCAAGCAGAGCCAGGCCCAGAGTCAACAGGTCAGAGATATTCAGGTTTTCTACATAACCTATGTCGAAAACCATTGATCTGTATTTAACCCAGGAAAACTTGGGTGTTGTGACCCCAGTGTGTCACTGCTGCTTATGATACTGAAGAACAAGGGACCACAGAGCCAAACCAGATTAAAGTGATGTTGAACTGAACATGGGTCTGGTGGAATTCTGGTTCCAGGGCTCCCTTGAGAGGTTATGTTGGAAGACAGGGGGCAGCTGGAAAACACTGAATGGGAGAAGGATGTCTGAGTAGACTTTCTTAGACTGCTATGACACATCCCTAGATAAATAGAAGAAAATAGAGAGATGGATGTGTTGATATTTCTTTCTGTTGAAGTTAGTTATGTAGATTTATGCCGAAGTATTCATTCATCAAAGAAATTAAATTTGAATTAGTTATTTGATGTGACATAAAATGATTGACTGGCAGCTCTGATGACAAATTCTGACTCCTGCAGCAAGCGTTACCATCGCAGATGAAATATAGTGAGAGAAAACATAAGCACTAACAAGAGTCACCGAACTGTCCATAATCATGAGTGTCTGCTTCAAATCCACCAAAGAATCTGCTCTCCTGTGGATTTTACCATTCTGATGGATCTTTGACATTTCATTGGTGAGGTAATTGTTTACTCTGATGAGCATATGTGAGTCCCCATACTCCAAAAGCCAGATTACTTCTGCACATGCCTTGCCTTTGCCAGTGCAGTAAACCAGCACCCATAAAGGTGTTATTTTATTTTCATATCTTGGGATTGGCAAAACTGAAGACTGTTCTATGTACAGGTGGTGATTTGTATTATCATGTGAGGCTGTTTAGTCAAGGCTAAATTCCTTATTGACTTATAATACTGCTGCTGGCAAGGACAACTTGTTGGCACCATCTCATGATCTCGTCATAATATACAGGAATATGATACACACTTTGAGTTAATTAACTACCACTGTAAGTGTATGGGGAATATGTGTACAGGCCGGTAATGAATGTCAGTGGAGATGGCTTGGAGAGATATTTTACATATTTTGGCTTTGACATTTGGAAAATCTGCTCATCAGTCATTAAAAAACTCAGACTCTTTGAGCAAAAAAGACAATAAGCACAGAGCCTGCGGTGCTATTGACTGGGCTAGAAATTAATTTGTTTTACCCTGCATTAATTAATTGCTTTTAAGAAAGGTACCTTTGCCAAACTACACAGGATGTTTTGACATTGTTAGTCCTCAGAACATCCTCATGTCCAGAAAGCGTCCATTCAGAAATTAATTACTGCCTTACCGCTGTGAGTGCAAGCTGTTTTAATTAGCACGGTGAGGGCATAAGTTATTCAGTCAGTTAATTCTCTGTGATGCAGCACAAGCCAATAAATGTGCACCAGCTCACCCGTGTGAAGTGCATACACAGAGGGGGATTTGAACACACATAAATATACTGAGAGCACATACGTGCCCATGATGTATAATGAACACACAGTATGCACAGCTGGAAGGAACAAAGCCAGACACAAAGGAGAGCTATGACAAAAACAAGAACAAAAGAGGAAGAAAATGTAGATCATTTCCTGCATTGTTAACACCCAGCTTAAAGAGGCTGATGTGTTCCACAGAGATTGCTAACAGCGCTTGTGTGTGCATGTTTCCAAATCCCTTTCCCTGCTCTGAGACAATCGATAGTGAGCTCTTTTTTCGCAGTGTAAGGCCAGGAATACAAAGGACCCCAGGGTAATAAAAGTCATCCCCTGATGTCGCAACTTCAATCTCTTAGCTGCTAGTGAATGTCATTGATGAGTAAATAAAAAACACAGAGAAGTCCCCAGCCTGCAATTTCTCTCTGCAGGTCAGAGTTGGACTGTAATTCATCTTCTTCTGATTATAAAAAGAAATAAACTGATGCCTGCATCACCCTGCTGGAAATAAAATGTTAGCCATAGTTTACAGATGTGGACCTTATCATGAAATATTGAGCAGTGCTTGGAAAAATTGCCACAATATTGAAGACATAGAGCCTAGACTTTGCCATAAGGTTGACTCTATTGTCATTTTTCTGCTCTTGCTCTTCACAGTCAGAAGAAATACAGACTGCTGTAGTAAAAAAAAGGGGCTTGAGGGAATTTCTTTGTGTTTCATGATTCATAGCTGCGTTTTCTTTCACTTGTTAAGGATGGCAAGACATCTCTGGCGGTCTACCTGAGTCTGTCATGTTAATTCTTAAACTTTGTTTCCTTAAGCTGGCAGGTGCTTAAAAATGACTTAACAAGACTTCATCAATATTACACATGTTAAGCTTACTCTTTAGCTCCAGAACAAACTTGAATTATTTATACCTTCTTTACTCGTCTCTAAAGTTGTGCATTAACAAGCATGCAAAGTAATTCCCAGCATGCAGAAGGTCTCCAACAATCTCTGGGATTTCTATTTTCATTTTCCGGCAAGAGAGAAGGATGGCATCAGAAGGACATTCTTACATAAATTCCCAGAGCACAGATGAATGTGCAGCAAACCATTCCTATTCGCTGTTTCAGTCAATTTATTGAATATGCATCAGGTCATGATTTCTAATGTTCCTCCAGTCCACATAGAGGTAATTAAAGCAGGTATGATGAACCGCTCGGTGTTAAAACAGCTCAACCTGAAACAGCTGCTTAGCAACTGAAGGTGAAGCAGCGGTTATGGGAAAGTGGGAGGAAGATGAGAAGCAGATTAACGGTCAAGGAGAAAGGTAATCACACAGACCTTGCAAGAAAAGAATAAAAAAAATAAAAAAAACAGCCTATGAAATAAACCAGTTTGTGTCTGTAAGGGCACGGTTAAATCACTGCCACTAAGGCTGCCTCAGCGTGGCTCTAATTTCCTCTGTGTTTTGAATAAGAAATGATTCAATTATTCAGACAAACTTCATTTGTGTAGCACATTTTGAACATTAAAATGCAATGAGCCCTTGAGGTGATGAGACAGGTTGACTGGTCTCATGCTTCATTCATGATGATCAGTGGGGCAATTAATACGTAAGCTTTTGTAATTAACTTCAGAGAGTGACTTTATGGTATGCTTTTTGATTGGCATTAGTTTAACTCAAGAATATGGATATCTTGACATTTTTATCCAGTTGTAATTAAAGATTTAACGATAAAAAGACTATTCCTGAATGTGGAGAAAAGGGAATTATAGTTAACTGGTTGTGCGGTAGTGAGGTAAGTAAACGTCTCGTAAAAAACATCTTGTAAACTTGTCAGCTTATAAAATTGGTAAGAGACAGACTGTTAGCGTAATCACAGCGCTGTGCAGAGTTCATGACCAGTGTTTGGGTTAAGTCTGGACATGCCCCTGCTCATTGATGTACACCATGTTGCAAGCACATCATGTAATTTGACCATCAATGAGTGAAGTCATAGCAAGACTCTACTGGTGTGATATAAGAGGCAAGTATTCAAGCATTTGTGTCCCATTTAGATTTGATGCCAGGTTCACAGCAGTGAGATGCTGTTTTTAGCCCGGGTACAGTACACACTTCACCATCACATTCCTGTCTCTTCATGCAACAAATTAAAAGTAATGTGCATACCTACAAGCTGTGTGGATGCCATTAGCTGAGCTGCCCTGCTGTTCTAGCTCTCTCTCTGCATGAACAGAAGCCAGAAATACAAACATACAGTATACTGTGAGTAAAGTCTGAGTGTCAGGGAAACACGCTTGAAAAGGCTGTTTGGCTTGTTACTGTGTCCTCTTATCGTACAGGGGGTTAAAGAACTTAAAGTAACAAGTATAATAAAATAATTGTTGGATTAGTAAAGGTAAGCATTAGCCTATCAAATTATTTGTTTTCAAATATGCTTTCCGTCATCGTTGTTACTGATTTATGCAGTAATCGTGGGATCTTGTGTGAAAGTCTTAACTTTCTGTAGAAGTTCGGTAAAAATGGGGAGATGCAACATCATGATTGACAGCTCTGTTGACCAGTGGCTCCCTTAGTTTTCTTTCTGCCAGACCACTGAAGTGGAGATGGTACAGTGAGATGAATATAACAATGACTAACATAAGGGTTACTGACCTTCACAAAACCAATCCAAGAATAAGTTCTGCTGTGGACCATACTGACCACAGATGTTTTCACAGTAGGTTAAATGTGTGCTTTGTTGGTGGGAGGGGTTTGACAGCAACCCCACAGCTCCATCAGCCAGATTGCTTCAGGACATGCCTTGGCTCCAAAACAGCACCAGTGCAATTTGTCAGCGCCCACAGAGGTGGGACTTAAACTTCATCTTTTTAAAACAGGAGATAGACATAGCATCAAAATACTGTCAACGGCTTGTGAAGATGGTTTCCAAAAGTGGTGACCTTTCATATCCACTTGTTATAAGCAACTCAACTCTTAATGTATTAAGGTTTTGTAGCAGTTTTTCAAAGTTTAGCTTACTTGGCTAATTTATATCAGCTATTATTGCTTGTTCAGCAACTGATTTACTCGCAGAGTCTAGACCCTTCCATTTTCCTTGTAAATCTTCAATAAACAACAAGAACTATCTCAGTTCTTTGTCTTGGAATCACATTTTAAAGGCTCGAGTCATTTTTTTTTTCTCTCTAATTAAGGATCTGCGTTGAAATGCCGCAGCATTAGCTCAGCGAGAAGACTAAAACTGAGTGAAACAGCTAGCTTGGCTGCGGCTGAAGGTCAGAGCTCTGACCGGGCATTTATAAATCAGATTAACATGCAGTGTGTAATTTGTTTAAACCATGCAAAATCACAATGCAATAATTATAAGTATGAGAAGAATACAAGTTCTACTGTTGCTTTGGACAGAGCCAGTTTTATATTTTAATGCTTAAGTTCACCTAATGTGGGTTAATCTTCTGATCTATCCTGATCTGTCTATCAGCGAGACAGCCATTCCTCACCTCCCCAATTTCTGTTCTTCATGTTTCCATAACGAAAATTCAACATTGAGTGTCATGGAAAGTTCAAGATCCTGTAACTAAAGACACGATTGATCAATGTTATTCTAACTTGAATAAAACATCTATAATATGTGTAATAGTCATGTTTGCATAGACGTTTTTTGCATGAACACAGAAGCCGACTGAATGGAGGATATATCAATACAAGCTCGACAAGAAGTGAAACAACAGAGGTTACACTGCATCAACATCAGCTGACAGCCCCTTAAAAAAACTACAAACTATGACAACTTTCTGTCTCTTTGTCTTGGATCTCCTTTTTCTCGCTGCCTGCTTTTCTCTCATGCAGCTCCGCCTTTTTCAACCTCCATCTCTCAGCCTCCTCTCTCTGTTTCTCAGTGAATCTCTCTCCCTAAGCAGTTGTACTCCAGCCAAAGCAGATGAGTCTGGAATGTTCCCACACTGCACTGAACGACAGATGACAGCCATCCTCAATGGGATTGCAATTTTGCTCTATATATATAAATACAAATATCTATACGTCTATATCTATGTCTATATCTATATCTTTAAGTATCTATATATATACATAGATAGATAGATATAGATCTATATAGACAGATAGATATAGATCTATATAGATAGATAGATAGATAGATAGATAGATAGATAGATGGATGGATAGATAGATCATACACAGGTGTTTTCTCCTCTTTCCTTTCTCTCTTTAGTGTTTTTATTTCTGTTGAAGCTAACAGCTAAGCACACAAAATCAGTATGGTCTCTGCACTGTCTTGCTGCCTCTATGTCTCTGTTTTCCCTCTGTTCAGGGACATCCAGTCATCTGCTTCTAAATTAGGCTATTCCATGCCGTTGCCCAATTGCCCAACAGCATGAGGCTCTGACTGCAGCAGTTAAACTGAGCGAGGGCTTCAGCCTGCCTTCAAATCCCACAGTAAAACCCTGGCGATACCATCTGTGTGGACAAACACTGTGCATTTTTCCTGCAGCATATACTGTATGTGGTCTGCATGTGTTCAGCATGTGCAGGGAAAAAGTCAGAGTCTCGGATTATGCTTGTATGTTTGAACGCAGAGGGACAGGTGTTTTTTTAATCGCTCAAATGTCTCTCTCCATCTTTGTCCACATTTTCTCTCCTTTTTCTGCTCCTAGTTTCTCACATTCCTCACCTTGTTTGGCTGTAGAGGAGACTGAAGGGGAAGCTCAAGCTGTTTTCATTTTTTTGCCACTGCTAATCGGGGTCATCCCTCTTTCCCATTCCTCAAATTTTTTGCCTCTCTTCCTCTCTTTTTCCTCACTTCTCTCTGAGCCCAGTTGGCTAACAGTGTGAGCCAGCTGTGAGGCTGCCATCAAACGAGCTCCTGAGAGACCCCCTGGGGCTTCTGCATACACACACACGCACACAAAGAAAAAGGAATGAAGAGGGTTACACACATACACACACACTTGCACACGCACGCGCTCATACACGTATAAAACCAGCAGGTTGGGATGAGTGTGTGTACAGCAGTAATGAAGTCTTAACTCATATTGTGCAGATTTTGTACTGATTTGGCTTTGGCTCTTTTCACAAACGGATTCTTTTGTTATTCAAAGTACAAATTCAACCCATATCTCCTTCAGGATTTTCTCCGCCTCTGGGGAAAGGTCATGGTATAAATTCAGAATAGCTATTGCTCTGACTGGATATGAAGTGAATATGAAAAGACTGCGGGCCAAACAGTCATAGAAGGGTATACCTGACAAACAGTTGCCCTCAAGCGCAGAAGTAAACAGAGCCTCTGATAAACATGCAGGCAAGCAAAAGACCTCTTGTAAATCTATCATCATGTGGAGAAGCTTTCCCTTAATCCCCCTTCAACTCAACTTTTCTCACTGTCTTAGCTACACTTAAAGCCGGCAGACTGCTTGTTACAGGCAGTAAACAGGTATGTCTCCCGTCACTGCCTGAGTGCGTTGTTATGTCATGGTTGAGGAGAGACCCCCAGTGTGGCTCCATAACCCACTTACAGGCAGAGAGGCAGACTGAGGATCGCAGGAGCAGGCTTAGGTGAGTCATGCATCAGCACTGCATTAGTAAGAGGAAGGATTTCATGGCAGGAAGGGGGTCCATAGAGAGACAGCGCAGAGAGCTGGGCTGGCTTCCTGTCTGACTTCGAATTCAGCTCGATGAGGGGTTTCTTAAGGACATCAAAATATTACAGAGAAGGAGCTTGTCAACTCCACTCCACCACAAGCCACCTATCCACATCAGAATATACAGACTTGTTCAACCAGGGAGGTAACCTACCCTGAATCGTTGAAGTAACCAATCTTCTAGTTGTTTGAATAGAAATCTAAATTATGATGACGTAAGCCATACCAAGATGCTATCTGTTAAAAGGCTGCACCTAAGATTTTTTTTTTTTTCCAAAGATCTAATGATTATTTTCTCGATGAGTCAACTACTCTATTGACTAATTCATCGATTATTCTAACGATTATTTTTTTATACTGATTAACACAACAAAGACTTTGACCAAAATAGCAATTAAAAACTTGTCCTGTTAGTATTTAATTTAATTATTTATTCAAGATTCTCTTGAAATCAAACAAAACAAAAAACAGTGCATTTTTTTCAATGTTTTTTTTACACTCACAAAGCACTTAACATTGCTTTTTAGCTTATCTAAAGTCAACTGTAAGTAAAACTCAGACGAAATCTTGCACTTAGTGCTGGGCGACATACTGTGAACTGCAGTGTGCCATTTTTCGGGTAACCAGCCTGTGGGTGCGCCAGCCTGATAGTTTATTGTTGCTTATCAGCCTCCCTTAACAGGTGCATGCTCACCCTATTTATAGTTACAATGACTGTCAAGTAACGATAAACAACATTCATACCATCTTTCATTTAATAGTAAGAAAGCCAGTGCCACATTATGTCGCAATGCACTGTGGGTCGTAGTCGGCATAATGCTGGCAACAGTGTTTGTTTACATTGCTGAGTAAGATATGGTGCTCGACAACTTTTGCATGCAATCGATCGTGGCACATCACCACAGCTAAATATAAGCCGCTACACTTTAAAAAATCTTTTTTTTTCTTATGTGGCTCTATCTCAGACTCCTGTGTATCAGTATACATATGTGCAGCGTAGCTCGTGTACAGAGTACTAACATGAGCGAGCTATTGTCGGCGATCACACAGCTGATTAATTAGTTATAGGACAAATAAAGGCACAAAACTGATGCTTCAACTCTGAGCTAATTGCTTAAAGTGAATGGATGAGATATGGGATGCAGGGTGTATGATGCAGCGTCCAGTTTGCTGCACAAGGGGTGGGTTATATGATTGACAGGTCACTGCATGTCTCCTTGAATGAAAGCAACGTGATCTTGGAAATGTGAACGAGGAAGCCAGGAAGAACACATGCATTGATTGACAGGAGCTGCTTATAGATCATGCTAAAGTAGGTTTTAAATTGACCCCATTAAGTGGAGCTTGTTTGCCATCCATGCCTCCACCGTAACCTGATGTAGCCATTGTCTGCGTCATCATGTGACACGTTGACGCATTTTTCGACTAATTTTTGTAGTCGACTACGTCAATTACATCGACCTATCGCCCCAGCCCTAATCTGTTACCTGAATTTGTTTACATCAGGGCAGCAGAGGGTTAAAGCAGCATGGCAGTAGTTGTTAACTGGAGCCTCATGAAAATAACAACCAGCAAGTAATTCTGGTGCCTAAGGTGATAACATTTAGTTGTTTAGTCGACTAAATATGACTTTTTCTTTATCATTTAAGGATAAAAATTAATACATTTCAGAGTGTTTATGGAGCACACACCTCTGTATATTCATGATGGAGCTGGAGCATGTCGATAGTCAGCTCAGCACCAACCCAGCAAAAGAAGGAACCAGCAAAACCTTTGTGGCTGACCAGGGATTAAGATTTTAATTAATAATAACAGGAATTGCATTAAAATACACACTTGATTCCCATGTACAGCAAATCAAATGCTACCACCAGCAGACAGTTGGCTAAACACTCAGACTAGGTGCAGCCTGAGGGCTGAAAGAGTTTAAAAAAGGCTGAATGGTAACTGGGTTTATCCTGTTTTGTCTAAATGGATGAAACTCAGAGACTGTATCCAAAAAGTCATTGTGTCTTGTGTATTTGTGTATTTGCAAGATTTATCTGAAGAAATATTTGTTGCGAGGTTGCAAAGTAATGTGAAAATGTGAGTAAATGACTTGCATACAAAATAAAAGCAAGGCTCCTCAGCAAACAACACTAAAAAAGAGCTGTGCACACAGAACTCTCCTCAACATTACTTCAAAGCTTTTAAAATGTTATTGCTTTAGAAAACTCTCAGCCATCCGTGTCCCAGGTGGCATAAAAAGATATTTCCCTTGAGCAGCAGAGGCATGCTTTGCCTCACTTCTAAGATATCTGGGCTCCTGGTAGTGAAATCAGAATAGGAGAGTCATCTGTTTCACTAGCCTAGCTCAGCCTAGCCCTGTCCCATCTCAACCCAACTGTGACAACAAAGCTAATTACCAAACCTCCGATCTCACAGTGCTGACAGTCTTGTTAGCCTCCTATTTACACTTTTAATTGAATCAAGCGTATCGGCATCATCTGGCTCATACTAAGTATATTTGGCTGATTACAAGAGGCAATATCCAGAGCATGTCAGTTTGATTAAGGATGAGCTTGAATTAGCAATCCATATTGATGTAACAGTCAAAAAAGGACCAGTTCCCAGTTATACTCTGTGATTAAATGTGTTTTCTGGCATCCAGATAAGAAAGTAAAGGGCTTTTTATCAGACAAAGATGGCAACAGGACAAGGTAACCAAGATGCCAGCCCACAAAATACACCACAAGATAAACTTAATTCCTTTATCCTATTAAAATCTTGACCTTTACTGCACAAGAATACATATCTGTAATAACTAAGGCTACAAGGCCTCAAGCATCCCCAACCCCCAGCATAAGCTCATAAATCCCTGCCCAGAGACACTTTGATCATTGTACCATAAATAATCTCTGCATCTCTGCCTTGAATTTAAAAATCTTTATGTTTTAGCCCATACTCTTATCTGGACAGTGGATGTTTAAGAGATCAAAACTGAAAAAAGACCTGCTGGAAAGGGTAGAAAACAATTCTAGTGTAACAGTTTGGCCCCAAGTTTGTCCCCTTACCTAGAGTTAAATTAAGTTGACTGAGAACTATGCTGGGATGTATATATGTTGTTGTTGTGTGTGTTAAAACCTTATTTATGTCGAGTACATCCATTCTCTTAAAAGGGATATTCCGGTGTAAAATTAATTTAGGGTCAAACACACCGAAACACTGAATTAGACACTCCCTCGAAATGTGAATGTTGCAGACCGCTTGCTTTAGTAACGACCGTAGGATAGCAATACACAGCGGTCTGAGGAGCCAAACACAAATCTCAACCAAAACACCACTCTATAGCCAGAAATAAAGCTCAGAACAGCACCTAACTTCATCAACAGTACATATAGGGTCCCATCCATAGCACTAGCCACCAAACATCTTTTTTGCTTTGCCTAATTTCTTTCGCAAAGAGACGAAACACGACTCACCTACTCTCTTCCAGCAGCCACTTGTTTGTAGTGAGACCTCAGGCCAGTCCTTTACGGACTGATGCGGGGTGACACAGCTCAAGGAAGAACATTTATGATCATTTTGCAATCAGACCGAGATGCTAAGGCAGAAGAACTACCGTGTCTGCAGTGCAAAATGATAAATATGGTGATTATTACTTCAAGGAAATGATAAAGAAATCGATGGGGTATCTAACTCAGTGTTAAAGTGTGTTTGACCCGAAATTAATTTTACGCCGGAATATCCCTTCTAGTAGTTTGTGTACATTACCACTTTCTAGCACCTACAGAGGTGGGTAGAGTAGTCAAAATGTGTACTCAAATAAGAGTAATGTTTCTTTAAAAAATATATGACTCAAGTAGAAGTAAAAAGTAGTAATCTAAAAAATTACTTGAGTAAGAGTAAAAAACTAATCAAGTACTGAATAACTAATCTGATTTATTTGTCTTGTGTGCATGAATTCAATCAGACGGACAATAGCAAGTATCTTTAATTTCAATTGACCTCTGTTGCATTTTTCCTTGCCTCAGTGACAACAAAAGCAAAAAATGGCTCCTTACCCCACTCTCCCCTAATGTTTTTAAGACCCCACAGGTAGCCTACCTGAAGTGTCAGACAACTCTAAAATATTGACAGACAATAACCAAACAAACAATTATTTTCAGGACTAAGAACTTGCAGAGATAACTAGGCTAACCTGCCTGATTCCACAGCCATTAGTAATGGAGGTCAAACTTACCGCGACGTGTTTCCTTACGTTGGACGTGGAGTTCTCGTACGCAGCGATGTTGGTTTGCTCCGGCAGACAGAGAAGACACCGCATAGCGTAGCAGTTCTCTTGCGTTTAGGCTAAATATGCTTCCTATGTGAGGCCACGGGTGTTCATCCTCCTCTTCCTCCTCCTCCTCCTCGTCAGCAGCGCACACCGTTGTGGCGCACAACGGCGTAGCCTTTGCCATTTTTCGTGGATTCTCCAATCAGCGTCTGGACGCGCCACAGCTACGCGCCTGGTCACTTCGATATTTTCCTGTCATGTGACTAAATGACTACCTGTGATTGGTAATGTAGAGACATGTGGTATAATATTTTGCGGAAGTGTCTGTTGCGAAATAAAAAAAAGGCCGAATTATTTGGACAGAGGAAGAAGTAACGAGCAGACAAGTGCAATGTAGCGAAGAAGAGTTGTGTTTCATCTTCACAAAAATACTCAAGTGAAAGTAAAAAGTATTGTGCATTAAAGTTACTAATAAAAGTACAATTTATAAAAAAAAAAAAACTACTCAAGTAAATGTAACAGAGTAAGTGAATCTTGTTACTACACAACTCTGCCTATTAAACTAAACAGTAACAGTTAGCTTGCTCCTAGTTCCATCTAAGCTCAGGTGACTGTTATTTTATATTTCTTGGCTTCTTGCCTTGGTCTACAAACCTTCTACTATTTTGTAGATGCCTGACAATCATTTTTAAAGATATGGATAGTTTTGGTGTTTACACAAAGACTAAATTATCAGCTGGTTGCTTAAGCTACATGTTTACAGAGAGTCTTTTTTGAACATCTTGACCACATCACGCTCTCCTGTGCTTTGGTTGGTAATGGTGTGCTGCGCTTGGCTTTTAGACTCTATTTGTTTTTAGGCCCAAAATCTAACCAAACTGGACTCACTCCAAAATGTCAACAACGTGCACTTTGCAGTTTATGTATCAAAGTTGCTTTGTTAAATGGAGGAGATGTTGATGGTTTCAAATGTTATAAAAGTCAATATTGACATTCAGTTGGAATAATGTTTGATTGGTCAGTTGGTTTTCCAAGCAAATTACAGAAAACAAGTAGCCAATCACAGTACAGGAGAAAGGACGAGTCATTGATCCTGTAGGAGACTTATGCTCCACACTTATCCTATTACGATTAACTTTCCCCTGGAACTGTAAAATAGCTCTCCTCAGATGTATGATATGGGTTTGAAAAATTGGATTTCCCCACATTCTGGACCGTGTGCAAGGTCCTGCTCGGTATCTTCAAGCCTAATGCAAACTTCCTGATATTAAACAACCGTGTGGGTTTCAGGGAAAGAACTAAGTAAAGGGAGAAGGCAGTTTTTGGCAGCTTCATACAAAGGATTGTCTGCATAGTAGGGAGTGTTGCATGGTTTAACAGCCCCTAAACGCATCCTCAGCCCTTGTAATTTGAGATAATGGCTTTGACATTTCAATGTCGGACCTACTAAGAGCCACGGCAAACACGCCTCCTGAAAAGCAGGGCACAAAATTTTGGAACAGTAAAGCTGCTGAATCTGTAATCCCTCTTTGCCTTTACACCTTCTGTTCCAGGAGAGGAAGAGAAAAGAGGACAGTGACATCAAACAAGCGCCGTTTAAAGATAAGTTGTAGAAATGATGGAGGGTGTGTGGTTAGGTTGAAAATTGGCATCACACTTTGCAGAATTATGCTCTAAACTCATTCTAAGATATTGATCACTCTTCAAAGGTATCTCCCTGCAGAGTTCAGATGTCTTTTTATGATATGGTGAATAAAAAATGATCAATAAATGCCAAATAACTGGCTGAAAATATCTATGTCGAAACTGTATTCAAGATAGACATAAAACTGCTGCCCCCGCTGTGCTATCAGATGGATTTGAATAAACAATAAAACTGAAACAGCTGATGTATTTGCAGCTTCCAGTCCCATGTGCTAAGTTTAAACTTGGGTTATAAAACCACACTTATTTTCCAAAATAAATTGCAGGCAAGCGTTAGGCACATCACTCCGCTTGTATTAGAAGGTAACGCCCCATGACAGGCTGTAATTACCCACAGACGAGTCTCAGCTGTAGAGGAACAGAAGCAGAGGAAAGGCAGCAGAGATGGTGTGTGCTTGTTTCTTTGCCTTTGCCTGTGTCTGTGTTGACGTGAGTGTGTGTGCTGGGCCCTGACTCAGCACATCCACATGGGCCTCAGAGGCGGCTGACTCTTTTATTACCTAATCCAGTTTAGGAGATGAATCCGGCCCATAATCTAATATGCTCATAAATGATTCCCGCCATATACACGAGTCCCTGACATTAGCTCTAACAGCTTGCGGGCTACAGCGCTGAAAAGAACGCCCACACACTACAGCATTTGTACTCGCCTCTTTCACTAATTGCTCCAGTGAATACTCACTTTGTTGCTCATACCTGCTCTTATGGTTTGATATTTACAGCATGTTGAGAACGGTGTAAGGTTGCTCAGGATCATGACATTTTTTCTCCTTTGCTCTCTGTGTTGTGAGTTATAAATGAAAGCCGAAATTGAACACTGCATCTGAAGTCAGCTTTCATCTTTTCAAGGCCTCCCTGAACCTCGCATCGTGCCTAATAGCGCCCTTCAGGCCTCAGCAATTGAAATGCCCAGCAGCCCTTGGACAGGTCCAGCCAGGCACAGAGGTGAAAGCTCCATAAGCAAACCCCCTCAGAGATACTGTGTCATGTATTGTTTCAGTTTCCCTTTTTCACTCTGGTTCATTTTTCTTCCGCTCACAATCCTAATATTTGCCAGACATCGCTGCCGTTTCCACAGAGCAGAGTCTGTATTTGTTCAGTCTCTATACAGCAGACTATGTTTAATGCATCTGGTGGCTCTACTCTTTGAGTTTCTTTTTTTTTGCACTCCCATTTAATCAAACATTTACATATTTGCATTCTCACCTAACATTCCTCACACAAAAACACACACACAGTCAGGTATTATCCATGTTTAATCCAACATTTTCAGACATTAGTGCAGCATGGCACATGAGTAAACAAACTTGACCTCTTGAAGACTTTAAAGCAAAACAGAAACTTTGAAGGCAGTAATCCACTCCAGAGTTTAGTGAAAAAGGAGAGCCAATAAAAGGAGGAAATTAAGGAAATCTACAACATGGTTCCCTATTGCTGCTTCCCCAATAAAAAGTAAAGAGAGTTTACTGAATTACAAGCAACTTTTTCAAAACATGGCCAGGGGTACAGCTATTAAACTTTAAAGCTCTGTGTTTGTGTGGAGCAAAGAACTCCCCTGACTTGTGATAATTGTGTTACAAACCAGGATGGGGTACAATTATGTCTTTGAGCAGATGTGTCTTTTTGGTTCAGTTCAGACATAAAAGCATATTCGAACAGTATGAATTTGATAAGATCCTACGGCAAGAGTGGCGGGCTGGCATCTTGGCAAGAATCTTTGTACCCAGAGGGCCACCAACACAACAGTCATTTTGTCAATATTGTTAAAAAGCTTTTAAAAAATACTGAGCTGCTCCCTGCACACAGTGTAAGCTAATGAAGTTAGCTAACTTAGAATATAAATAAGAGATGGGACAAGGATGCTTACTGAGATATATAACATAAGAAATTTGGCTTTTTTTGGTTAGTGATAGCTCCCAAGTCTGTTAATAAGGCACTAGGTTGATTAAAAAAAAAAGATTATGACAAAAAGGTGTTCAAAATAATAGCACATTTGCCCAAAATATCACATACAAAACAATCTTTTTTTTTTAGCCGAACAACCCCCGTAACAAAACCCCCAAACTCATGGGGGAGAACTCAGTCATGTCAGTATATACCATATTTTTTTCTCTCTCTTTAAACACCCTGCTGTGACAAAATCAACAAAATCCAAATGTTCTCTGCTCGTTTCTAAGAGTGCACCAGTTTGATGCCCAGTCCAGTGTCCAGTACAGCAGGAGGGAACCAGGCCATTTTACACCTCCTGAAGCAGCGCAAGAACACGCTACACAACCAGAACAGGTTAAGGCCACAGCACCAGTTGGAGAGGTGCACCATGGGATAGGTAACTTTGGGAAAGTGGGTCTTCCAATGCTTGGCCACGTCACTCCCTGTGGGCAGGTGAAGTGTGTAGTCGCTCCAGCGTTTTGAAACCCCGTAGACCGCGGTGACCATCCTTCCCTTTTCCAACCATTGAGTGTCGCTGTCCGGGTTGCAGTTGAACTCCACCCATTCGTGAGTGAAGTCACCAAGAAAGGGGAGGTCTCCAGCTTCAGGGTCCACCCTTGCAACGGATAACTCAGCCCCCTGCACGGCTACATAGATGCCCTCCACCCTGCGGATCTCCTTCACCCAGGGGAGGGAGTTCTCGGTGTCCAGGACGAGGATGAGACGGGAGTAGTGGCCGGCGTTCTTCTCCTTCCAAAGCTCTAGGAGCTGGGCCAGGTGGAGGCTCTCCCCTCCTGCAAAACAGGGTTACAGAAAAAAAAAGAGGAGTGAAAAAAAGAAAAGCTACACATTCATTCTGGTGTTTTCCAAAGCATTTATCCTCACCAGACTCTCTTACACACATAGAAAGTAGTGTTAGGAGAGCTACTTTTGTTCAGTGTTGCATTCAAGGACATTTCGACAGGACACATGACTGTTGATGGACACAGTAGCATTTGAAGGGATCAAATCTGTCAACTTTTCATTGCTGAGCTGCCTGTCTGTCTGACTGCCTTCACCACACAAACTGCACAAGGACGCTGATTTTAAGAGAGAAGTTCAGAGATCAGAAACAGAGTCCTCAACGATTTCCAGAATTGTTGATACTTTTTAATATCACATCATTTTTTCTCAACAAGCTCTGTTGGCAGTGCGGTAATTAAAAAAAAGATAGAAAATACCTGACTTTGGGTCCTCAGACGTTTAATTTTTGTTGCCATGGTATCCAAACAGGGAATTATCTCACTTGATTTTAATACTATCATACCAAAGTTCAAAATTCTGATATTGTGACGCCAGGTGCCCACTTCATTATTCCTGTTGCATCAAAATAATCCTTTATTGGAGGAAGATGTGGGAACATGGAGATAAACAGTTAGAATTTTGCAGGCATGTATCAAAAATCAGTTAAATTATCTGGTGAGTATAAATGTCCCTTCAGAAATGTGACACTAGGACGTGATTATCTTTTCAGCAGACTTTTTTTTCCTTGTTTGCGGCGGCGAGGAGAGATAACGTGTCAAGTAATCTCTGAACAGTAGAGCCGGAGCTGACACGGTGTTAACCTGCTGTGATTCATATTTGTGTTGAGGGAGTGCGCCGCCTGTCACTGCAGACCCATCTGGAACTTTCACACAGTCGTCTCTCCTTCACAGCAATTTTCAATTATTTGGCTTATTCGCCTAACCTGTGCAGATGCACTCTGATCAGCTGAGACAAAGGATAACACCAAGAATGGAAACTAAGGTTTGCAGGGAGTTTCTACCTAATACAACCTGACAATGTACCGCCGCTACTTTAAGTTAAGCGACTGTTTGAAGAGACAAAACTGATGTCCAACTTGCTGATATCTATCCTGCTGTTTAAAAGTGATGATTAAGGATGACAAATACTTTTTTGGTGTCAACACAGTTTTCTCTTGAGGCAACTGTGCGACTGTCAGTGTCCCAGATGAGCTTTCAAAGAAAAAATGCAACAACACAGGCTTTGATGCAAAAATAGATTATTTGTGTTCTACCAGGAAGTTGAAGTCATACATTTCTGTACTGTTTATGAATGATCAGGATTCCTGTCATTACAGGTTCACTCGGGGTGGGAATCATCAGTGGCCCTATGATTCGATATCATTGTGATTTTTAACATTTTGCAAAACAGTGAGTATTGCGATACAATATATTGTGATTCATACAATTTTTTCAACTGTTTAGCTAATTTAGCATTTGGCTTTCCTTTATTTTTGTCTTATTTACACAGTTTTTTATTTTCATGTAGCTGTTATATTTGCTATATTTGTCGCACTAACTTTCTCCCGCTCTATGATGTCACCTCTGCCAACCTCACTGGACAAACAGTTCATTTTATTTTGTCCATTATCGTAGATTTGACTTCATATTAACAATTAATTTGAAATAATTGATACTTGGCAAATGAGATGATATGATATATCACCAGACAAAATATTGCAATACTATGCTGTATTAATTTTTTACTCCCACCCCTAAAGTTCATCCTGTTCAGTCTTGGATATGTGCAGAGAGAGGGTCATTTTAGCAGCGATGAACCCCATTTTTCCCTTCCTTGTTACAGTAAAACAGACAAATACATATGAATACAATGGATTTTTTTCTGTAGATTGCTGTGATTGTTGGTTTCAATCAGATCTGCCTCCCTTTACAAAAACCAGTTCATCAGAGGAGCAGTCTGCTGAACTGTACAGACATTACAAGTTTTAGCCGACCAATCAGAGGAGGCAAGGATTTGCTAAATCGTGCTTTAATGCATTAAAATAGAGAGGTTCCTTACTTTTTGGACTCTGAAGTTAAATAACATTGAAAAAATCTTTCTTTTTACATGTTTTGGAAAAGTGGCAACTAAAGAGTGGAAAGTTTGTAAAAGAAACCAGATGTTGGAACATCTCAGTTTGCTATATCCAACATTTGATAGGTTGTTTTTCTGCTACTTTTAGTGAAATATGGGGTTTCAGTGTTTTGATGATTATCACCTTCTGCTTCTATTCATATTTTACTCAGTGTAGCAATCCCTTTTCTGTGGAGACAGCTGTAACTTATCATACCTGCCAAGTGTAGAGCACATTAAAATGAACTTGAATGGTAAGCAGATAGTGGCTTTGCAGTCAAACGACAACTGTGGAGGAATTTTTAGAAAAGCACAAACACCAACTGGTTGTGTCAAGGTTGCACACAAAAGGTTGCATTTGTGTAGTCCTCACCAGTCAGAGCCCACGCTCCGGTGCCTTTGTGTGAGTGCCCACTGTAGAAAATCAGATAGGTGTCATGACGGGGCCCATCCTCTGTTCGCAGTTCCAGGAAGCTCCGCAGCTTCACCAGCAAGGCCTCCAGCGTGACACCACTGGTAGAGTAGTCACAGCCAAACGTTTGGATCATGTGGTGTGAAAAAAGCCGCTGCACATTGTTCAGCATTCCTGTGGAGCGCAGGTTCAGCTGCTGGACGTGCTCCGGTGGAAGGAGAGTGGGCTGACCGTCAGGGCTGCACCGAGAGAGAAATAAGAAAGTAACACTGTGAGAAAATGTGGATGTTAATCTGATTTTTTATCCACTCTGAGGGAGCCTCGAGTTAGCGGGCTTGTCAGAGGCAGGGTGAAAGAAAGAGAGCACGGGCAAACGAGAGATGAATGAGTGAAGAGTTGATAGTTTGACACGCAGGGATGGGGTATCTGTCTGCATCAGCAGGGAGACAGAGAGCAGAGGATGAGAGGAGATAGGGAGAGGGATACGGGAGCGGTAGGAGTGGTGCATGACTGCTGACGGAAATGACATTAGCCTCAAGGGGTGTGAAGGGAGGCAAGAATGAAAGGAAAGTAAGAAAATACAGAAGCAGAGGGGGTACGGAGAGGAGAGCTGAGCAGGGTGATGAGAGATATGAGTGAGAAGTGAGGTTAAAGACAGCTGAGGGCAAAGAGATATTAGAAAAGGGTGTGTGGATGCATGTGGTTCAAATCCCTGATAGCTGATAACAAGAAGAAGATTAAATGCAGCCTCGCGTTTATTCACATGTCTAACTTGAGACCTGATGTCATTCATGGACAAGCTGATAACAAGTCATTTCTAACGCTTTTCTTTCAGACATCTGCATAATTCTGACAGCTTATTATTGACACCAGTGTCAGTCTCATCCTGACAGGAAAAGGTTTAAGTGTCACAGTGTCAGGATAGAAGTTTTAAATACCTCCATCCCAATTTTCTCTCAGGTTTCCACACATATATGGATATTTTTGGTCTGTTTGGATCTGTGCGTGTTTGCTGTAAACTCTGGCCCAATCTCGATCTCAACACTCACAAACTTAAAGGTGAGTTTACTATTAGTGTGTGCGAGCGCAGAACTTGTTCATCTTACAGCACCAAATAACCCACTTTCCACAAGTCTGTATTTCTCCAGACTTTTAAGTGGGATTCACCCAGAGTTCAATGTGATGAGTGAGGCGATGTGATTCCCCAGGCTCTCACTAATTGTTCACAGGTGTTTGTGTATAGGAAAATAGTCCTCAATAAAGTTTGAACAAAGCTTTGGACAGCTGTGACACTGTAATTTATCCATTAACCATAAGACCAGGAGAGAAATCTGCTGGTGGATGGGGACCACATGCAAACTCCGCACAGAGAGGCGCCAGCTAGGGTTCAAAACAGCAAACTTCTTGCTGTTAGGCAAACCACTGCACTGCCATGCAGCCCAGTGAAATGCGTGACAAAACTACATGCTAGAGGTTAGGTCTGGGCGATAAACCGAAAATTTACCGATACCAAAATTTACGACAATAACCAACGTCATTTAGCCCATGTCAATATATTTGGTGCCAAAAAATGAATAAAAGTTGATTTTGGATGTGTGTAGGTAGGCTATAGTCTAATGTCCCTTTTCAAAAGCTGTCCTACGTCGGAGACTTGACTGTACCCCATCCAGTTCGAAAAAAAGAGGGAAAAACAGGTGAGATGTAGGACGGTTTAAAAGTTGGAGCGGCTGGAGCAGCGGATGAAGTAGACAAAGTTGATGTGGGAGGGGGTGAGCAGCTTGTGGAGTAGATATTGTCCATTTATTGTTATCGAGGTGAACTGCTCAATATATTGTGATATTGATTTAAGGCCATATCGTCCAGTCCTAATACAGGTGAGCCTTTGTCCTGTCATGTCCCATTTCCAATTTTTTTAAACCATCTTAAGTCCTCCTGATCGCAGCACTTTGATATTTCCCAGCAGCTGCCATTAAAACCATTGAGTTTTAATGGCAGCTTCTGGGAAATATGGGGTCGAGAGAGGGGTAGAGGAACTACTAGGCAGCAACTATTTAACTAACAGCCATCATGTTTTTTTTTTCTCTTAAACTAATTTTAGTTTGTTGGAAACACTTTTTCTGATATGAAAAACTGGCAAAACCACTTACTGTTCTGAGACAAGTTCATTGATATCTCATAAAGACTCACTTGGCGCTAAGTCTTCTTTTCATGTCTAATTCCTTTGTAGAAATAGACTTCATAACTTGAAGTCAAAAAACAAGTTGATTCTTGAAGAAAAAGTCTTGAATAAAGATATCCTCCTCCCTGACATGCTGCAACCTTTGCGAGGCGCTACTAAACCAATCTGATCTTTTTCAGATCTCACAGCTACAGGGTTGTGAAATCTTGGAGCTTGAGATTCACACCACATCCTCCCCTGTTACTCTCTCTCTCTTTCATCCTTAAAAAAAATTCCTGTCCTTATCTCCACACTTCTCTCAGAGCTCAGAGTCTCCTTCCCGTCTTTGACAATTCTCCTCTATCTTTGGTTCTGTTTGTCCCTTTTCACTTTTACTATTTACAATCTCAGACCCCTGCTTGTGATCTCCCTCCTGTCTCCCTGATTTACCCGGCGCACCTCCTCTCCTCACGCCAATCGCTCTAATCTCCCTGTGGGGCTCTCGTCATTGTGAAAACATGATCTGCAGCCATCAAACAGCCCCATTATACACTGCTGTATTCTCATCATGCTCACAGCCCTCCCTCTGGACCCCTGCACATACAGCCTCACATGCAGAATGTCAACAGCTTCAATTGGACATGGGCTTGCATTGTGAAATCACCTGGAGACTTTAACTCTAGTAGAGCTGGCAGCTTCCTCTGAATGCTAAAGCTTTTACCGTAAAGGTTCCATGTACACAAAACGGGTGTGTGAACATTCACCAGTCTGAAATCTTCAAAAAGCCACGTTTCTAAACCTCTGAGGGGGCCCCTTCAGATGGAAAAGCTGATGTAAAACTCATGGAGAAAACATGTTAGCATCATCAAAACTTAATGAAAAAAAAAAAAGGATTGGCTGACTTGTTGTGAGGAGAAGAGGCAGCAGCAGTAGGAGCTAATGGCTAACCGCTCCAGCTGAACAACTTAGTATGCTGCGGAGGGAGCAAAGGAATGATCCCTTAAGGGCCCAAACATTAGCAGCATGTTTATGCATAGTTATTGGCCTATTTATCCAGTTGGTTTTGTGTTAACTGAGGAGGGAGTTGGAATGAGTGATCATATTTACCAGCGCCTAGGATGCCAAGACGGCTTCAGCGTGGGGCAGAGTCGGTCCAGGGTGTTTATAAGTGCAAATGAGGTGTGTTTCGCTGCTGTGTGTTGTGATTAGCTGGATGTATAATAAGGTAATATGAATGGACTGTCAAACACCATCACCCATATAAATGGCAGGTAAAAAGCTATGAGAACAGTGGCAGTGCATATAATACCCAAATGATTTCTTGATTACTTATTTGGCCAAATTACTGACGCTGCTTCAACTCTAAATAAAGAGCTGTAATTGCTGCCAGTACTCTGTTTGACATGTTTGACTTTGACTTGTTTGTAAGAATTTGTCTTTGCCTTTGTCGTTACAAATGTTTATTTCGGGGGTTTTGAAAAGGGAGAGCACTTTGTTTTAGAGCTGTTACATGTATATTTCTAATTTTTCTAATATTAATCAAGCTTATCAACTGTGTCGAGAGTGGACAGATTTTCTATCTTATTGGTTTAAGTTGTTACATTCAGTTTTTGTCATCTTTTTTTCTTTTAAATAATTAAGATAATAATAATAATAATAATAATAATAATAATGATAACCCTTTTTTATAGCATTTTTGAAAACAGAGGTTTACAAAGTGCTTTGACAAATAGTCATAAACACAGAACGTCATCACATGGAAATACAAAGAAAAGCTCAGTTAAAACAGGGCCTCAGAATTGAAGGTCATTTTCATATGTCATAAAGATAATAAGTGAACTTTTGGTTTTTGACTTCAAACAAGTACATTATGGTAAACAAAAGGTTGTTTCATCATTGATTCAATGCTTTCTAATAATGGCTGTGTGCTTACACCACCACTCTTGCCTTCAACCAGAGCCGGCCCAAGGCATAAGCGAACTAAAAAAATTTTTTAATATATATATATTTTTTTTAATTGATGCTTTCTGTGTGGTCTGATATATATTATTGTAAAAATAAAATAAAGTAAAAACATTTTAGTGCTGCTACTGATGTAGGCCTGTGATTCCTACTGCCGGTATGTCAAAGCTCCACTATCGTTGTGTGCCTCCTGCTATGCAATGTGCACTGAGCATCCAAACCGCAGGTAGTTGTGGGGCAAACAATGTTGCAAAAAAGGACATATCCTTTAGGAGCAGAGAAAAGAAAGAGGAGGAAAGAGGAAGAATGTGTGTGAATGATCAACAATCAATATTATTGGCAGAAATAGAGGGCCCCAAAATCTAATTTTGCTTAGGGCTCCATTGAGGCTGCCTCCAACCTCTGTAAATTTTGCCAATGTCTGTTTAGGTCAAGCTCTGACAGCACATGCGCAAAACTGACAAGATTTGTTGGGGGTGGGCTGCGTGCTTAAATTGCAAATAGTCAAAATTTTCTCTCCAACTTCACCCAGACTTTTTCCAGCATCCCATTAAAATTCCTGCAGTAAGATATGTTGAGTCAATGTGAGAACACAGCAAGAAAGATTCAGGAAAATTTACCACAAATGAGTGGAAGGGGTAGCTGACATTGATATCTGACCAATTCAAACCTGGAAGAGCAACACAGAACAGGATGAATAAAAACGTCCAGTACTGAGGAGAAGGAATTCCTCTCACACAGACTTATGCATAAAAGATGCATGATTTGAGTATCAGCAGACATTAGCTTGAAATATCAAACAGTGGTATCGGCAGATACAGACATTCCTGCATACATAATTACTGGTCAAAAAGGTGGTGCAGTACTTACGAGCATGCAAATGACAGCTTGCGTAAGTGTTTTAAAAGTTTAATTGTATTATAGAAGAAACTTGGTGTCCTTAAAAAAAAGTGTGTTTATATCGGTATCAGCCAAAATGAGTTTGAAGATATCAGCACACTGGATATCTGCAAAAACCCAATATCGTGCACCCCTAGTCTTCACAAACCATTAATATAACAGCAAAAACTGCCACTATGATGTAAACACAACACACATACTGTACCTGCCCAGAAAAACTCAGGAGGGCAGATATGCATCTTTACAGTCTTAGCATTCCTTTCTTTTCAATACCTGCAGTAAGCTGTTGGTATGACCAGGGCGTATCCAACACAGGTTCCCCCAAGGCAGCTGCCCAGCTCGTGGAACAAGCCATGAGTTAGAGACTCCAGAGGCAGCACCACCAGCAGTGCGCTGAGAAAGAGACCGTTGGAGGCCTGCAAGATGGAAGATAATCAAAGTCACTTTCATTCTTCACTTGAGATTTGGACTGAGGCCTTCAGAGCTGTTTAAGTAAAAAGGTGTGACGGTTGTGTCCAACATGGAGAAGAGTGCCATCAGAGTAGGATAAACAGGAATGAGAAACAATGCAGTATATGAAAGAGGAATAAACATTATTGAACAGTGTGTTCTGTCTGAGCAGTTTCAAATTTGCAGCAAAAGTGTGAACACAGTACAGATACAATTAAAGGCTATTTACTCAATCTGTTATTGCCTAAAAGTCAGCCATGCCGTACGAAATGGCAGCCTTGAACAAACACCAACTTCCACACACAAGTGGATCTTGTGCCAGTGACGAGAGTAAATCTTTAAATGCAATCAGTTTTAAATTTGCTGATAGTGTGCAGTGTAATTTAAGCAAACTCAGAATTCTGCTTTGATTCCAGGGCACTGTGCTGTATCTGAGAACACTAATCAATACCTGCAAACTCAAATGAATCCAGACTTAAGTTTGCACAAAGTATTGAACTGCCCTGAGCATGCCTGAGTTGAAAAATATGTTGCATTCATTTAGTGGACTTTTATGACAATGTCTGCCCCTTGTTTGTATAAAATTACATTCTGCATTGCCTGAATATACCTGCTGTGTAAAGCAAAGCTCTTTAGCAGAGGACTATACGATAAAATGCAATCTAGTAGTGGTTCTCACAGATTAAGAATTGATTTGCCGTCGTGCACCTGAAGATGTGGGAGTAAAGGAATGCCTATGAGTGGCTCTGCCATTGGCAACTGACTGTCTACTAGGAATACATTTCTTAAGTGTTTCACGATAGTGCTTTTTCTTTCATCATTTCAAAAACATTTCCATTCAGCTTCTAAAAAAAGATGTGATGCAAAGAATATCAATATTTTGTAAGAAGAGAAATGCATTAGGAGGGGTCTCCCATGTTAGTTCCGTGGGAAAAGGTGAATCAAATGAACATCACGTGCTTTGACCTGACAATGTTTAATATAGTTGGATCAAAATCGTATTATTTTTTGATTTGCAAAGGTTGTGTCAAATGCTGCAGATTGCACGTGCCTTATTTGTGAGTACTCAAGAGTAACCTGGTTCTTAGTGTTTGGCTATCTTTTCAAAGTACAGGGACATAACACAAAGAAAGCTTAACACTAGCTCTCTCATGATCCAAGGCAAACAGCTTCTACTTTCACTCTCATATTTGCAACTGGCATCAACAGTGTGCCAATCTCAAATTAAAACTCAGGCCCATGAGACTCTTACGAGGTAAATGTCTAATAAGGCTAAATAACTTATTGCTGCTCCTTATGCAAGTAGATAGGGATATTAAAGAGCTAATTAAATTGGTTTCGCATGAGAGCTGATGTGTCTTAGCTTGGGGAGCAACAACAAACGACACACTGTCTCTAGCATCTCTTTTCAGGCATTGTACCACAGGTGAAAGATGTTTGAACAGACTTTCAAAGAACAATCTGAGCTTGTTCTTATTTTTAAAGTTTTATGTAAACGTCTTGAAGTCCTAATGAAATGACTGTGGTAATAAACTCTCACTCGGGTCCTACCTGCCAGGACACAGCTCCCAGCACGACTGTCGACAGCATACTGAAGAAAACCAGGCGCTCTGAAATGAGGCAGAAGTGTCGGATGCCCCTCGAGGCCATAACTTGGTCCAGACTCCGGCTGCTGGACCGCTGAGCCCGCCAGGCCTTCTGACACTCATTCAGTTTGGTGTGAAAGCCCCAAATTGTGATCACCAGAATAATGTGGCAGATGGACCAGAAAAGGCCAAATATGCAGAAGCCTGGGATCACCAGATACCACAGCTCCAAGTGTCCAAGCTATGTAAAGGAAAAGAGTCAGTAAGCACAGCCCTACAATCATAAAACCAAGCAGTATAAATTAAATGAAAAATTGTTTCACAGTGGTTAGATACTGCAAGAAATTATTAGAGTTGGAGGTCTCACAGAGGCCCTAAAGAAGCACATGATTGAAATGTCAATTATTTCACAATACAATTTTCCCAAAATGCTGTGTACCTTTAAGGCAGCCAGGACAAAGAAGGCCAGCTCTATGAGGCAGAGAGGCAGCAGGGACAGCCTCCTCCACACCCTCCCCATGGAAAGTACTGGTATCCAACGCTCACTGGACCCCAGCCCGCTGAAATAGACATCTAGAACAGGCTCACAAAGCAGCCTGCCTAGGTAGCACCCCAGTGCATACGGGTTGGCTGTGATGCTTAAGGCCTGGAAAAACACAAGGGACGTAACCAAGGCAAAACTGACCAGGTTTGGCAAAGCCAGGAGGGATTTCATCCTCAGGTCCACAATGAGAGCCCCCAGGGCCACGACCAAGCCTATAATGGCCGCTGATTTTTGTAGAAGCATGGTAGTGCTGGCAATGCCAAATCCCAGGAGCTCCAGGAATTCAGCAGATGTGAGCAGGATGGGTTTATAACGAATAGAGCTGCATATTCGCTCAGTAAAAGCCCATACCATTTTCATTATTACACTGGCAAGGAGGAGGTAGTTGGCAACCAATTCCTTGACATTGGAGTCCAAGGCGGGGCTGTTGAGGAAGCACAGAAGGCCAATCAAAAAGCCAAACCACAGTTGGAACAGGCTGAGACTGGCTTTCTTCATGGCAAAATAGTAATGGAGGATGCTGGCTATCCCCAGGACGAAGAGACCCAGGATGAAGATGACCAGGATCATTGGTTCATCAGTCACCTCCCAGCGTACATACATGCCGACACATACCGCCACAAGGAGGTTGATGCTGGACAAGTAACCTAGGCAACGAATGGATGTAAACATGTCCACCTCCTTGGGCCCATCTACTGTCTGCTCATCCTCTTCCTCCTGAGCCATGGTTGACTTTAAATTACAGATCCAAACACAGTTTACAGACTCGGTGGGTCAGTTTTTGATGATCATCTTTGGGCACCGCCTCTTCATGACAGTTTCCAGAGTCAGCCCCTGTGAAAATTCCAGGAACTGGGTCAGCTTAAGTTTCTAAATGAGTGTATGTGGCAGGTATGAAATTGAAACAGACAAACAACAACATCAAAATCCATTGGTGACCCTAAAGCTAGTCAAAAATCTCATATAACTTCACCTGCTTATCAAGTGTTAACTTTCAAACCGTTTATAGGGGAGAATGGGCTAAGATGAGCCATTTTTCATATTTTAGATCACTACAGCAAGTCAATCCCAGTTTTGTCTCTAACTAGTGTATCTGCATGTATTTTATTCAGAACATTCAGTGATTCAGAACATTCACAGCTGTATTTTTGAAAAGAAAAAGTAACACATTTCAACAATCTGAACTAAAACTCTGATCCTCTCATCAGACTCCTTTACTTCCTCAATTGAGCCACTGCCTCAACTTATCCCAGAACTATTTTTATGACTTTATTAGTCCTCTAAGTTAAAATGGTGGACTTTTATGTTAGGTTTTTGACCTCATGTTGTAGCTCATAGATACCACAACTGATGTACAAATTTAAAATGACAGACTAAATTGACTTTAATATTTGGTCACTTGATCAATTTCTTTTACCATTTCCAAGCAACAGGGGGTGGCTCAACTTACCCTTTGGCTCAACTTAACCCACTCTCCCCTATGTGGCAGGTATGAAGTGTTGAATATCCACAGAAACAAACAAACAACAATAACAAAATCCATCGGTAACACTACAGCTAGTCATAAATCTGAAATAATTTCACCTGCTTATCAAGTGTTAACTTTAAAACCGTCTATATAGCTGGTAATAATGACCACATTACACGCTAACGTTACGGTTTTTCTAGATTTACACCCTCCAACACCCGAATGACTATCTCGAACCTCTCAGTAGTATAACAGTATAAAAACTTGAACCTTTCAGCAGACTAAGTTGGTCTGTAAGCTCTTCAGTCACTTTGTGAGGATGTGGCACTGCTCTCAGAAAGTTTACTCACTTACACAGCGCCTCTGCGGACTTTTCGATGTCTTTCGTCCACCACTACTGCAATTTCCTGACCTGAAAACTAACAACTACTAACTCTTGTAAAATAGTGAAAGTTATCAAAGTACCAGCTAATTACTTTTATATGAAAATGTTGCTTACATGTTGTTTATTTGGATGACGGCAGCTATGCTTCCGGGTTCTTCTGTCGCTACGGTATCTCGCGAGTGTCAAAACGGACGAACTTGCTTTCTCTGTGTCGTTCCAAATTCAGTATCTGCCCTACACAGCTAACGCACTACGAGCTTTCGCTTTCTGGGCCGGCGCATGAATACTTCAATCTTTGTGACTTATGACTTAACTTGGTGTGAAAAGAGCAGAAACCTCAAAAACGGAAATTTATGTACCTTAAATGTCGCAACAGTGCATCATGCCTCATTCCCCATTATGTTTTGCATTGAAATGCAGTGTTGTTTTAAGAAAACGTTTGTTGTCAATATTTTTGAGGTTTGTAGCTGGAGGATGTTATTTTATGCAGTTAGGTAACTTTGTGCTGATGGGTAATATGATATGGTGTTAGTGACTATTGAGGATTTCATCTATGACAGTAATTGTCAATATTATGCATTCCTTAAAAAGATGTATATAACATTTACACTTGTAGCCTGTAGCTAATAGATACTTTCAATGTTATTGAGAAAAACAAATTAATTTAGAAATATGCCGTTAGGGCAAGTATTGATTTTGAGCAGTGCAAATAAGGGTAACCATGTCAAAGTGGCCTACAAATGTAAGAATCAATAGAAATGATAGATCTTTGATGCCCATTAGTTTTACAGGTGACTGTAATTTGATGGAGGTGAATAAGAAACTAGTGGTCTACCTGGCTCTGTCTCTGTCTGCGGAGGGGAATTGAAGAAGGAGGGGTAGACCCTGAAGAGTAAGTCACTGAGGGGACAGTGAGAAGGCCCACACAGGCAGACAAGGCCCCAACCATTAGTTGATATTGCGGCCTACCCTATGGGCCAAACCATCAAGGACCCTGTCTTCAGCTGGTTTGGTTGTGGTTACCAGGCTTCTGATGTCTTCTGGACCTGAAGAAGGTAAGTGTTTTTATGTCCTTTGAGTTGAATTCAGTTTCACTTGCAGCATACCAGGAAGCAAAAAAAAAAAGTTAACCATTCATTAATCAACATCTGAGTGGGTACAAAAATTGAAAGCATGCTGCTTTGGGGGCTTTTATTAAGAGCTTCAGTTTGTCTGCAGTCACAAGTGTATTGTTGAAACAAAAATGGGCAATGCAGGTCAACATTTTTATAAAAGAAAAGGCTGTTACATGAACATCTGGATAAAATAAATTGCCTCTCAAATTATGAGCCAAAAGGTTAACAATAACAAAATTCCTGTTTGTTATTCATGTATATTTATGACCATTCACCCTTTTAAAAAGCCGTTTTACTCACTGCAATCCCCCAGCCTCCACCACAGCAGTGTGTATCAAGGGCTTTGTAGACCAAGATAAACCCACTGGCCTCTAAGATAAGAAGCCTATTTAGTGCATTACTGAGGAGAAGCCTGTTAAAAGGTTTATTTAGGATTTTATACTGATGCAATATGATAAATGCAGCGATCAGGGTAACATCAAGAAGCAGGCTTACTCAATACCCTTGGGGGTGCACCAAAGACGCCCTGTGCATGCATGTGTGTGCATTTTTTATGCAAGTGTTTTTTTTTTTCTCAGTGTGTGTGCTGCTTTGATCAGATGTTGACATAGAGCACAACTGGGACCACACAAGAATTTCACCCCCTCCACTGCATGCATACACAGCGCTCGTTTCATACAGCGTTTACAGCTGAGAGTAAAAAGTAAACACTGAAATGTATTATGGTACAGTAGTGCATCTTCCTAAGTCACAATCTTTAAAATTTAATTGAGTATGTCTATGAATTTTTAATGTAGGATCCTCTCTGAATAATGACAACAATTCCAGTTTATTTTCGTCTGATATAATATTATAATTTTGCAAGAAGGACATAAATTATGTACATTTCTTTACTGTCTGTTTCTGTTTAAAAATCAGATTTTGAAATGCAGAAATACATCCTGTTACAGTATCATCCTGCTGTTTAAGTGCAGCTTTTGTGTATAAATTGCATTTTTCTCAAAATTACTTTCCAATTAGTAACAACTGTGCTCCTTATTAACCGTTTTAAAGAAATTGGTGATATAAAACATTGACTCTCATTCATTTAATCACACTTTTTAAGTTGAATTGCAGTTCTGTCCCTGTGGTCCCATGTTAGCTGAGGGAAAGATCCACCACTGCTGTGATCATCCACCAGCAGTTTCAGCTTAATTCACAAAAGAGGAAGTCTTTGAGTCCCCTGAGATTTAGAACTGGTAGATAACATGACATAATGAACAGCATTTACTTATAAAGATAAGGCAACTATCAAAAAAGGGTTCAGATGATTACCACCAGGTCATTAAAACTCCTGTTAAATCCCTTTAACATCCATTTTCTTTCTGAAGATACAACAAAAAGACACTAGATTTTTTTTAATTAAAGCATTAATGTTTCATTCATGCATAATTAAGGATTCAGCAATCATTCCTCAAATCTGTGAAGTGTGAACCAGGTGTAATGAGCTATGGCTGAAAAGAAGAGCACACAACCTGATCAAACCTCATGAGGCAGACATATTATGATCTCCGCAAGGTTATAGTGCGGAGAGATCTGTAAAATCACAGAGACAGAGAAAGAGAATGAGAGTATTTAAAATGGGCAGGGTTACATGAGGCAAAGAGAGAGATAGGAGACTAAAGGAGACAGGTTGGTCTGAATTATGCAGAAGCTACCTCCATTCCAATGTCAAAAACTGGAGAACTGTCAGAAAACTGGAGAACTGGAGCACACACACAAATATGCATCACAACAAACATACAACTTACTGTACATGTTAAGCGATTTTGTACAAGGGTCTAGAATTTATGTCATTGTGCTGGCTTCGAGAAGAGACGAGAGTTGAGGTTAGTATTTGATCTGGGAAAAAACTAACACCTGGGGTTCTCTTTTAAAGCTCAACACATTTTCAACTTACACAACTTTAAAATTCCTGTGAGGATTTTTTTTTTTACATTTAAGATTGATTGTAATTAAAACTGTTTTTTTTTCTGACACTCAAAAGCAACCAAGACAATCAGCAACAAGACTTACAAACTGCAAGGGGGTAGGTGTCAGTGATACTGCTAAGGAAAGCCCTGTTTTTACATTTGACTGCCAGTGGACTGCATTTTGAAAAATTGTTTCCGACAGAGCAAACTTTGGTAAGAGAAAGTGAGGGTTAACTACTTGTACATAATCTTTCAAATGATAACACAGATGCACTGGTTTGCTGGCTACTGTTAGTTTGCCTCGTAGGCAATGTCTTGACTTTTAGCTCTAGCAGGTCACATCAAATCCTGTATCATTCATGTTGATGGAGCAGAGCTCAGTCCAGAAAAATGGTTTTTATAGAGAAGAGTCATATCAGATATAGGTCATGATGTTTCTTGCTCTGTATTATTGGCCTCAAGTTGTTTCAAGGCAAGCGATGTCTGAGTTGAAGCCTTTTGATAGCACACAATATTTGTACTTGAGCTTGAAAAAGCAGACTTCAGTCCAGATGGTCGGAGATATAAAAGATTTTACAAGAAAAGCTGTGCAAAAATATATGTGCGACAAAAAAATCAACAGTTTGCTGGATTCAGGTTTTTTTTCCATGATGTCTCAGTTAAAGCTATTCTTCTGCACATTACATGAACAATATGTATCTTCAGTGTTGTCAGTGCAGTGGCTGGTTAGGAAGAATAAAGGTGAATCTTACTGATGACAAAAAAGCCAACCTTTCATATCAGTCAAAAGGTATAGGATGCAATGGTGTGTTGGCCTCAGTGGATTTGTGAGTTTAGCGATGTCTCAGCTGCAGCCGTTTGATAGTATACCCCATTTCTTGACAAAGCTGACTTTGTTTAGAAAATTCAGTCAAACACTTGTTTCTGCATGTAGGTCATTAGGTTTAAGGTGCACCTTTTTGTTGGTCTTGCATTGTTTGCCACTCTAGTGATAACAGCTCGTTCTCCTTCATAAGCCGTTATGGTGCAAGACGGGCCGCCGCCGGGAGAGGTCTGTTCAATCAGAGTTTCATCTTCAGAGAAATCAATGTGATGGAGCGCTGCACCCAAAGTGGATGTAAGGAGAGGCAGACAGCATCAGAAGTCTAAATCAAAAGCTGCCGGTGCTCAGTATATCCATCAGGGCTGGAATGAATTCCGGAAAGAAAGGCCTGTGACTTGACTCAGAGCGAAGGGAATGAGGAGAGAGGTTGATGAGGGAGAGACAGAAAGAATTGAAGAGTATAATCAAATAAGGCTGTGAGACTTGTTGATACCCAGAAAGGCAAATGTCCTTTTTTTTGTTATAAAGACACGATGTCAAAGATGTTTTGTGAGAAACAAAGAGGTCATAGGAAAAAGGGACAAAAGATATGCAGACAAAATCAAGAGAATGTTGATGTAATTCTTATCTCATTTGTCATACCTTCCTAACAGCAATATTCATGAGAGGCTCTGACTATTTCCTGGGGAGTAAGGACAGGCAGCACACTCAGTATCAGATGAAATAGAAAATAAATGGCCCTGTGCTGAAAAATGCTGAAAGGGAGTGAAATCCAGCACTCACAGTCACTTTCTGCTCCAAAGGCAAACTGTCTTTGTGGGACAAGGACAATGCCTCATCTGCCAAGATGTGTGATTTGGCAGGAATCAATTCAAACAGCTATTACGCTGCCTTATCCCCTGTCAACGGCACTAAAGATGGGGAGAAAGAGGGAGGCATTCTTCATGGAGGGTACAGCAGATGAGGAAATGGTTTGGATGAAGCAGAGCATCATGTTACAAGTCAGTGAAAGTCTGTCATTTTTAACACTGATACTTGCCTGCACCCAATAAGTACAGGGACATTCTGCGCCTCCATGAACACGATCTTGAGTATAATGACCAGTTGAGGGCAATCATACATTACCAATCTAATTTACTCCTTTGCCTGAGATCACTGACTGAAGCGGCAATGGCTTTTTAATAACCCGACCTGTTCAGTCCCACTGAGCTGCGACCATGAAGAGTCTGATTCATTTATGGTGCCAATGGGGGGAAAATTAGGATTGGAATAATGAATCTGTTTGCG